TGCTGCTGCTGGGAAAGCGACTGGATCTCCGGATCAACCCGGAGGATCTGCTGGGAGGCTGGGCCTGGAGGTGGGTGCAAAGCCTAGGAAGGAGCCAGGCGTCTGTATGCATGCTTCTTTCCTTTGCATTGGTTGCAAGCACGATGGGCCTTGGTGTCCCTTGGTTTCCAGCCCCTCCAGGAATCCTCTGTTGGAGGGGGGGTGGATCCCAGGGGATCCAGAGTTGCCCAGGAGCATCCTTTGGCATGGCTTGGGCATCCCTTGGAGGACAGGCACTGCAAAATGCAAGGAGAGAGAAAGAAAGAAAAATATGGAGGGCATGCCTGAGAACACTCCTAGAAATATAAAGCCATGCTTCTTAGCCATGCTCAGAAAGGAATTTGGGAATTCCTCCTGGAATTGAGGTTGAGATGTAGGACATGTCCTGCAGAAGGAGGATGCCTGGTCATCCTGCCCTTTTGCATCCCTTTGGGTACGTAAGGTGGCCAGGTGTCCTCATCGCCAAGGAGGACAAGGCACTGCCAGATGTAGACAGTTAAGAAAGATGGAGGGCCTGACCCAAGAAAAGCGAAATAATACTACCCCAGTCTAGCTCAAAGAATATGGGTTTATGACGCACAAAAGTTTGGAAACTAATTTGATAAGCAACCGTTTATTTAATAAACGCTGTTGACCCTTCCAAATGTAGTGAATTCTGGCTAATAATAATAATAATAATAATAATAAATAATTTTTATCCCGCCCCTCTGCGGACACAACCGGGGCAGCTTACAACATTAAAAGTACAATATAAATGCAATACAAATTCAAAATTAAATGTTGCATGTTTCCAGATTTAGTCACCAATATACAATTTTAGCCACCAACATACAATACCACTTTACATATATTTTTTCTATTTTCGTTGCTTGTTTTAGGATGGGTTTTCTGAGATTTTTATGAGACACAGATTTTGTTTTATGAACTGCAAATGGGAGCATGTCTGTATATATACAAAAACCACAATAAATGACATATAGATACAGAGTAGTGTTGCCAGATATATACAAGAGCAGTAAGAACAAGTTGAAATCCCTAACTTCAGGGTAGTACAAGCTGGAAGAAGCTGTTAATATATATATTTTCTACCAAATGAAAGTACAGGCATCTGTTGGGGGTGCTTCGATTGTGAGTTCCTGCATGGCGGGGGGGTTGGACTGGATGGCACTTGGGGTCTTTTCCAACTCTTTGATTCTATGAATGCAAACTACATTTAAAATTCATCATTTAAAATTCACAATTTAAAAATCATCCAGAGCAGTCTGCTGGAAGAGACTGGTCTTTCAAATGGTGTACTCAGTTGTCAAATAATAATAATAATAATAATAATAATAATAATAATAATAATAATAATAATAATATTTATTTCTACCCCGTCTTTCATTCCACAGTTTGGGGGCGGCCGAAGAAAAACTTCTCTGGCTGACAGTTGCCAACCTAGTCCCAGAAGACTGGAGTGAATTTTAAAGGCTGCCATAGGTCAAAGACAACCAGAAGGCACATAATAACAAAACTTTTTGATGATCAAATTCCGTAACTGTCCTAATGGACTGATTTTTGAGGGGAAAATGTATGATTTGTGAGCTGCCTTCTCCCCCTTTGCTGGTCTGGTAAAATTAATTACCTCTTTGTTTCTTCTTGGTAAGGCTACCACCCCACCGTCACCCTGGCGCTGCGTTGCTTGGATGGTGTCTTCCTTTCCCCCACGGAGAATGACTTTGTCAGCAAGATCATTGAGGAATTGGACCATTTCTTGCTTCAGAACCAGTTGGAAAAGTAAGAGATCTTTTTTACACCTGGAAAGGGCTGGATCTACCATTAGGGAGAGTAAATTAACTATCTCAGGTGGTGGATCCTAGCTGGGAGCTGTGGAAATGCATGGCATAGTGGTTTGACCATTGGACCATGACTCTGGAGACCAGGGTTCGAATCCCTGCTTGGTCAAGGACCTTGTCCAAGTCACACACTCTCAATCGCAGAGGAAGACAAAGGCAACCCACCTTGAACAAATCATGCCAAGAAAACCATCTGATAGATTAACCCAGAGGTAGGCAACCTTTCCCCTTTAAGGGCCGAAGGACTTCAGCTCCCAGAATCCCAGGAGCTATTGGCCAACATGGGACTATTGGCCAACATGGCTGAGGCTTCTGGCAGCTGAAGTCCCTTGGCCCTTAAAGGGGAAAGGTTGCCTACCCCTGGATTAACCTTTGTTGTTGTAGATATGAATTGATAAACACTGGCTTTTCTTTATGGTTGCCAAGTGGCCAGCAGATGTAGAGGCATGGCTATATTGTTGTCTGGTTGATTTTGATTTTATGGCTCTTTGTGCTCTCTTCCAGGGTCCTTTTGTTTCCTCCCTTGTCTAGTCGCCTCCGGTACCTGATCCACCGGACCGTTGATGATGTTGACCATCTGAGCAGCTTCTCTGTGGGGGAAGGATGGAGGCGGAGGACAGTGGTCTGCCACTCGGCCATAAGGTGAGGCTTTCTCCCTTAGGACGGCTCACCTTCCACCTGGTCACACTTTCTATTAGCCATGTCAGAAGCAGGGTTGGGAACCTTGCTTTTGAAAAGTAGTATTTCCCATTACTGTGTGTAGAGAGATCTTGTAGCACAGTGATTCTCAAACTCTTGTCCTCTAGGTGTTTTGTACATCAGTTCCCAGAAGCCTCAGCCAGATTGGTCAGTGGTCTGGGATTCTGGGAGCTGAAGTCCAAAACACATGAGAGTTTGGGAATTAGTATTGTAGCACCCTTTGAGACTAATTGCAATAAAGAAATTGGCAGCATGAGCTTTTGTAGACTTCAGTCTCCTTCCTCAGATGCATGCTTCAAATGTATCTGAGGAAGTAGACAAGTCTACGAAAGCTCATGCTGCCAACTTCTTTCTTGCAGTTAGTCTCAAAGATACTACAGGATCTCTCTACATACTGATTCTACAGCTATATCTTTGAATTTCCCGCTACTGTAATCATCTGAAAAGTAATAACTTGGAAGGGCCTGACGGAAGCAACTGACCTTTAATGCTATTTGAAATTAATTCTCTCCTGGCCTCCCTGGTTCCAAACTTATTTTTTTTTAAATATTTGAATGGCACCTTTTTAAGAGGCAAAGTGCCTGTGTCTTCTGTGCAAAGCTTATGATAAAATACAGATAAATTTGTTATGGTTACAACTCTGAAAGTTATTGCCTAAAACATCCCATAGTCCAGCAAAACAGTTTAAGATCAAGACAGAATCAGCATCCCTAGTTAAAGAAATTAGATACAGCATCTCTATTTAAGAGTGAAGTGAAACAAGAAGGTTTCCAAGGCTCATCCAAAAGCAGAAATGAAGGACAGTCACTATAATGTAGAATAACAGTTGATAGTAATTAAAGTGGCACAGTGAATCTTTCAAATTCTTTGCCCACCATTTGACTATTGGATCTGGAAATTCTCGTCCAGGCCATCACCAGATGGACACCAGACTGGAGAAGGGGCCTCTGGGGAAGATGGTTTTGGCATTGGTGGCTATGAAGTTATCTAAGCAAGACTGTTCTGAAGGCCTAAGTCTTCTTGTTTGGCTTATAGGGAAGATGGGAAAGCCAACATGGTGTAGTGCAGGGGTAGGCAACCTTTCCCCTTTAAGGGCCAAGGGACTTCAGCTCCCAGAATCCCAGGAGCTATTGGCCAACATGGGACTATTGGCCAACATGGCTGAGGCTTCTGGGAGTTGAAGTCCCTCGGCCCTTATGGATTATGATTATGATTATGGCTAGGGTTCGAATCCATGCTCAGCCATAGAAACCCCTTGGACAAATCACCCACTCTCAGCCTTAGAGGAAGGCAATGGTAAACCCACTCTGAACAAATCTTGCCAAGAAGATACCCGTGATACATTCACCCTAAGGTTGGCATAAGTCAGAAATGACCTGAAGGCACACAACAGCAACGACATAGAGAAGACACTTGGCCATGATCTGGTGCGGAGTGAACAAGTAGTCTTTTGGGAAGTAGTATGAAGTACTGAGGTTACTCTGCTGCTCCTCAGTTTTCATCTCTGTGTTGGCCAATTTATCCTTTAGTCTAGGAGGTGGCAACCTACAGGCACATTTGCTCCGCTTTTATTTTCTAACTGAACTCTGATGGACCACCCAAGCCAGAAATAATGACTTTGAGAATGTGAGCACTTCAGATTCAGGAGCATACAACATCTGACCACATCAGCACAAAAAAACATGTCAGAAAACATTGTTTTCATGTCAGAATGCAGCTTTACCTCTCCAGAGTTTTCTTTATTTCATGAGCCTTACTGGGGACTGGGCTGAGAAATGGAAAATACCTTCTTGTTTGTTATGATATATTTACATGTGCCCAAGAACTAAGGTCTGCTGGAGGGGTATTCTCACCATTCATTTGCATGCATGGGATAAGTCATGTTTGAAATCTGGGACTTAATTTCTGAGTAAACATAACAGTTGGTTCAGACAACACTGGACTCTTGGTAAGGAAGGTTTTTGTTTTGGAATTCACACATCATTTTCCTGGCTTTTTGTTTCCTTCTTCCTTTCTTGGGGTTAGGTTGCCAGATGAGCCAGAGGATCAAGATGGCACCCGTGGAAACAGCTCCATCTCAAGTCACCCTTTCCATCCAAGAAGCAGAGGAGGTCGGTCAAGAGGGGGACCACGTCATGTGGAAGCATTGGCTGATGGCTCCCAAGTCCGGAGAGGAAATGGCCGGGGAAGGAGGCAGCCCCGGAAGAAGCCAGACAGAGCTCTGTATGTCCCCAGGGCCATGCGGAAGAAGCCGGAGGGCTTGCAAAAGGAAAAGCCAATAGATGCATCTGGAAGTGAGTCCCATGGCATTAGGACAATTGAGTATGAGCATCAAAGGTCAAGTGTGATCAACAGTAGTGACAGGATTATAGAGGTCAACCGATTGCCTGGTCCTGATGTGGAATACTCAGAGGCTGAAAGCCCTCAAGAGATGTATACAAATATTTTGGAGTCTGATGCTAAAAATGGTCAAGGAGAGGCAGGATGCTCAAGTTCTCCTCTGCTGGAATGTGCATCGAATCTGTCAGAAGATGGCGGCCAGTCTAACATTGAGCAATCACCCTTAATATTAGAAAGCAGCCAAACTCTTACTACTGGAAGAAGCCCATGCGAAGATGGCAGAGAGCCTTTGGCACCTGGCTATTGTGAAAAGTCTGGTTTTCAGGAAGAATGGAAAGAAGAGGGTTCTGCCAGTGTGGTCTCAAAAGAAAGTGGCCACCTATCATTGTTGGGAGAACAGAACACTATAGTTCCAGAGACTGTAGCTTTAGAACTGAGCATAAAGATGTCCATTCTAGAAGACAAAGAGAAGAGCAGCCCTGATTTCTCTGTTTTGGAAAGCAACATTTTGCCATCCCTGCCTGAGCAGTGTGAGGGACCTGTTACCGATACTGTTCTGTCAAACCCTACTTGTGGTCCCTGCTCCTTGGAAGATAAGAATAACGTTTGTACTTGTGCCAGTGGAGTGGAGGCCAGCAAGACACCTTCTTCTCCGGAAGAGGGCACAGCAGATGCCACTGTGTCCCATTGCAATCCAGAAATGTCAACCTTGGGAACCCAGGATAAAGACGGCTGTGATGCATCTGTGTTCCAGTGTAGCCAGACAGAGGCCTGTAGGGACACCGGGGAGCAAAACAGAACAGGTTTCCCTGTGCCTGGGCAGACATCATCTGGACCAGGAAGCTGCAAAGACCTGCCTGTGCTGGATTCCCAGGCTGTACCTTATTTAAATACCTCTGTGAGCGAATATGGCAAAAGTGGCTGCGCTTTTGAAAGCCAGCAGAGAGAGATGGTAGACCTGGAAGGAAATCTGTGGCCTGGGCTGGAGCTGTCTTCTGGGGACAGAGACATGGGGAGCTCTGTGGTGGAAGAAAAGGATAGCGTCCTTGAGGATGACTGTGGGGCTGAGCTCTTACAAGAGGTAAAGACATTATTTTCTGGTTGGTTTCCAAAGGGGTTAGTTCAAGTATAACATTGAGCTATGATATGGCACTGTGTACCCCAAGATTTAAAGCAGAGGGTGGGCAACTGGACAGGTGGTGACAGTGGGACAATTTTCCCCTGTGCCTCTTTTCTATAGGCTGGAAGTGAAGTTGCCTTCTTTCCGGTTGTCATTTTTGGTTGATTTTCAGCATGTTTGGGCATTGTTGGCAGATGATACAAGGGAGGGAGGGAGCAGGCAAGGCAAACTATTTTTGGACAATTGGAGGGTATCTGAGGCTGTTTTGGGGTGAAAAATTGGGGGGAATTTTTTTTATTGATCTCCAGGTATGTTGAGGGTGGGTGAGCATATGTATCCTATAACGTTTCCCCCATCCGCTGCCTTCAAGGCAGTCTTTCCCAACATAGGGACTTCTGCATGATGCTAGGGTGCCAGTTCCAGCTACCCTTGACTATTGACCGAGGATCCTTCATCACCTTTGGTTAAAATTTATCATGGCTGCTGGGAGCTGTACACCAAAATCATCGGAAGGGCCATGATTACCAACCCCCTAAAGTAATGGAAAGAAGGGAAGGAGCTGTCGTGTTTGAAGAGGGCTGCATTCGCACGACACAAATAATCCATGTTGACACCACTTCAACTGCCTTGGCTCAGTGCAATGGAATTCAGCGTTTTGTAGATTGTTGCAAACTTACTGACAGAGAAGGCTGAATGGTTTACGAAACTACAAATCCTGGAATCCCATAGCATTGAGAGCTATGTCAGTTAAAGTGGTGCATTATTTCTGCAGTGCGGATGCAGTTGGGGAGAGGAAGGAGTGGGCCGATGTATATAAGCAAGAATAAGGAACGCTGGAGTTTTTGGGCTCCAGCTTCCATCGTCTCTGAACACTGGCCGTGTTTGGCTGGGGCTTAGGGGCGCTCATGTCCAACAACATTTGGCCACAGGTTCTCACCCTGTTTTAACAC